CTGCTGGCGCACCGCTGCCGCCGCCGCTGCCGCCCCCGCCGCCGCCGTCGTCCCCCCCTCCTCCTCCTCCTCCTCCTCCTCCTCCTCCTCCTCCTCCTCCTCCTCCCCATCCTCTCCTCGCCGCATACTCTCCTCCTCCTCCCTCCTCCTCCATCCTCCTCCTACTCATTCCTCGCCCCCTCCTCCGCCCCCCCCCCCCCTCCTCCTCCTCCTCCCCCTCCTCCTCCTCATCCTCCTTCCTCTTCCTCCTCTCCTTCCTCCTCCTCCTCCCTCCTCCTCCTCCTCCTCCTCCTCTTCCTCCTCCGTCGCCGCCCCTGTCGCCGCCTCCGTCGCCCCAGCTCTCCGGGCATGCGTTTGCTCTGCATCCGGGCGTGCTGCCTCGGTTCCGGCCTCTGGAGCTCGTGCTCGGGCCCCCGGGCCTTGAGACGTTGACCTGGGGCGAAGGTCCACCCCTGGGAAAGGGGTCGGAATTCCCGGGGGGCGCGGAATGAAAAACAAAAAGATATCAGCGGATGTCAGGCCCTGGACCTCCGCCTGCCGAGCCTTCCGCGCCGCAGTCTGCCGCCGCGGCGCGGCCGCGGCGAACGCCGAGAATGCAGCTGCGGCCTCGACGGCGGCCGCCTCCGCGGCCGCGCCGGCGGCATCCGCTGCGCGGTACCTGCCGCCCGGTAGGGGGCGGAAGGTGGATGACGAACCGACGAACCCATAGGGGGGTCGGAGAGGGCTATGGGTGCGTGTTGTCGGATGGGGGTCCCCGCTCGAACGGGAGCGTTCCCAAGGGTCCGACAACCCGCACCCATACCCATAGCCAGTCCTCCTCTCAACGACCCCCCTATGGGTATGGGTGTGTGTTGCTCGTTCGTCAGGTAGAGGTCTGGGGGGGTCCCTGTAACCGCCTCCGTCGCCGCTGCCGTCGCCGTCGCCCCCTCGGCGCTGCCGCCATGGCCGTCGCCGAGGTTCGCAGGCATTGTTTTGGAGGAGAAGGAGGCACCAATACTGTTTTCAGTCGGGCATGTCCGTCCTTACAGGAGGAATATTCGAGGACCGTGGAAGAATGATCTTGGGACGATGTTTCGCGCTCTTTCGATTATTCCTGGGCTATTCTTTGATTTGTCTTCCAAGACTTTGCCTGTAGGAGGGCATGCCCGACCAAATGCGACCCTTCCCTCGCCACCACAGCTGGAGGCGCCCCAGAACCCTGGCCAGGACTCAGCCGCGGGGAGAGGTCCCGGGGAGCAGTGGTATCGGTACTCTCCGGGACTCGAGATACGGGGGTCGATGCAAACGTTCAGTCGGGCCTGTCCCTCTACATGGGGAGTCTTTAAAAATAGTACACAAATAGTAGGGGAACAATTTTTTGTACTCTTTCTGACTATTTGGAAGTACTTTTCGAGTATATTTTCTCTTGCGCCCAAAATCCGCCTGTAGGGGGACATGCTCGACCTAATGCAAACGGGGGTCAGTCAGAGCGCCAGATCTTGCAGGATCCTGCAGAGCCAGGGGCGCACTGACCTGGGCTTGGGTGCAGGATCCCGCAGGATCCTGCAGGAGCTTACAGGATCCTGCGACGCTTGACTGGCCCGGGTCTGGATTGACCCGGGCCAGTAGATTCCCGAACAGTGTTGTTCCCTGAGATACGGCGCATTTTTACAAATGCAGTATCGGGAAAAGCACGACCAGAGACCCAGACCCCATCTTTCTCCTACGCGTCTCGAGTCAGACCGATCTTTGAGGGTCCTGGGCCCAGAAACCAGGCGAAAACGCCCGGCTCGAAACAGTTGAAACACCAGGATCTCGGGAGGGGGGAGCAGCGGTATCGGCACCTTCTTCCGTCGACCTCCACCTTCCAAACCTTCCGCGCAGCAGATGCCGCCAAGGCGCGGCCGCGGCGACTGCCGAGACCGCCGACTCGACGGCGGCCGTCACTGCGGCGACTGCCGAGAACGCCGCTGCGACCTCGACCTCGGCCGGCATTGCGGCCAGGCTGGCGGCGGCCGCTGCGCAGCACCTGCCGTCCAGAAGGTGCAGCAGGTGGAGGTCGCGGGTTACAGTCGAGGTTGATTGGTAATTTGGTCGATGCCACATCAGGGTACCTTTGTGCGTTGTGTTTCGCGGCCCATGCCTTCTAAATTGCCATGGCAATGTGTCCGTTAAGAATGTGGGCGGCGCTAAGGCGAGAGCCACATTTTGAGAATGAGCCGCCCTCAATCCGTGAAACTGCTGCACTTTTCAAAAACGAATGTGCGCGGCGCTACGGCGAGAGCCACAGTTTGAAAACCACCCGCCCTCAACCCGCGAAACGCTTGCGTTTGTGAGCACGAATGTGCGCGGTGTTGAGGCGAGAGCCACATTTTGAAAACCACCCGCCCTCAAACCGTGAAGTCCTTCCAAGTTTCTAAAACGAATGTGCGCGGCGCCATGGCGAGAGCAGCATTTGAAAACCACCCGCCCTCCATGTGTGAAAGTGTTGCCAGCATTTAAGCTTGAGGGTCATCAGTGGTGGGGAAGTCTCAGGCGAAACGCCCAGCCCGCCCTTACAATTTGCCTCGGGGTGCGACAGGGGGAAGTTATCTATAAGGACAATGAATGGAAGAGGAGGAGGAGGAGGAGCAGCAGGACCAGTGTAGACCCAAAACTCATCAACGATGTTGTAATCAACCCTCCCTCCAACTTCCCTCTTCATAGGCGGCTACAACGGCTCATGTCTACTGAAGGAACTGCCGCGTTGGAAGACAACCGTTTGAAGATTCTGAAGCATACCAAAACATTGTTCTCGGGATTCCAACGCCACGGGTGAACTTGAGTGTTGCGCCTCTACGATCCTGAATCATGCCCGAACGCCATGCCTGGGACTTCAACACTGCGAATCATCATACAGCTGCACCCTCATGATCCTGAATCCTCCCAGGACACAATTTCTGGTACGCTGCTCATGTGAACCCGTGAAACTCGTACAATGTTTAAACGAAAGCGCGCGGCGCTAAGGCGAGAGCAACATTTTGAGAAGGAGCCGCCCTGAATCCGTGGAAATCTCAGAAATGTTTAAATGAATGTGCGCGGCGCTACGGCGAGAGCCACATTCTGTAAACAACCCGCCCTCAATCCGAGAAGCTTTTTTAAATGTCTAAAACTAGTGCGCGGCGCTAAGGCGAGAGCCACATGTTGAAAATCACCCGCCCTCAATCCGTGAAACTTCTGCATTTGTTGAAACGAATGCGCGCGGCGCTAAGGCGAGAGCCACATTTAAAAAACGCCCCCCCCCCCTCAGTCTGTGAAACTGCTAGCCCAAAGGCTCTAAGCGGTGCGGAAATCTCAAGCGAAACGCCCGACCCGCCCTAAAAATTGGCGTCGGGGTGCGACAGGGGGAAGTTATGTAAAAGAGAAAGTAATGCAGGAGGAGGAGGGGGAGGAGGAAAAGGAAAAGGAGGAGGAGGACGGGAGGGAGGAGGCAGGAGGGAGAAGGGATGAGGAAGCGGCAGAAGAGTGGTGGGTTGGGGTGTGGAAGAGAGGAGGAGGCGGGAGGGTGGAGGGAGGACGGTGGAGGAGGAGGAGGAGGAGGATGGGGAGGCAGGAGGGAGGAGGCATGATGTAGAAGGCGGGAGGCAGGAGGAGGGAGGAGGAAGAGGAGGAGGCGGATGAGGGAGAGGAGGAGGAGGGAGAGGTTGGTCCGTGGGGTAGGCCCTACCCTTGCAGTGCCCTAAGCCTTTGGGCAGGCCCTACCCCTGCCCTACCCCAAGCGCTTGGGTATGCCTACCTTAGGCCCTTGGGCAGGCCCTACCCTTACCCTGCCCTAGGCCCTCGGGTGGTGCCTACCCTAGGTGAGCTACCCGAGGCCCTTGGGTGGGGCCTACCCTGGGCTGCCCTTGGCCCTTGGGTACGGCCTAGGGTGGCCTTCCGCCCGGGCGATCTATTCCCTCCCTTTCCCTCTGTGCCGCACCCGCGAAGCGCAGGAACACAGGAGCTTGGGTTGGGCACTCCCGCCCCTTCCCCGTCCCCCTCGTTCCCGGTCCCCTCGCCTTCCCATTCTCCTTCCGCGCGTGCGGCTTCTGACTTCCTCTTGGGCACTTGAAGGACTGCCTCTTCGGATGTTCGGGTTCGTTGCGGTGTGTGTGTGTATGGTGGAAGCATCAGGGGCGGAGGAGAGGGAGGAGGACGAAGAGGAGGAGGAGTTGGAGGAGGAGCTAGGAGGAGGAGAAGGCCACGACTGCTGGAGGCTGTGCAGCGTCAGAGGCAGTGCCGGCACCTTGGTACCTCCTCGCCCTTGTCCTCCGCACCTCCCCCCAAACGCGGCCGCCGTCGAGGTCGCAGCGGCGGTCTCGGCGGTGGCCGCGGCCGCGCCTCGGCGGCCCCTGCTGCGCGCGAAAGGCTCGGAAGGCGGAGGTCGAGGGAAGAAGGTGCCGATGCCGCGGCTACCCCTCCCCCCCCTGACATCCTGACGCCTCAACTTCTCCGCGCCGGGCGTTGTGTTTCGCCCGGCTGCAGGGGCCTAGCGGCCCTCCGAGGTCGGTGCGGCCCGGAGCGTGTAGCGGAAAGATGGGGTCCGGGGCTCGGGTCGTGCTTTTCCCGAGGCTGGATTCTTGATCGCTGCGCTGGGTTGCAGGGAACAGCAAAGCTCGTGAAGGACTCAAGTTAACTGCTGCCGTCCCTCGACTCGCGCTGGAGCGGCCACGATCTGCTCCACGTGTCCTTGGAGATGTCTGGATTTACGTGCGCCGGATCTGCGAAGGTGGAGGTCTGCGTCCCGCCCCCCCCCCGCCCGCGCGCGGGGGGGGAGTGCAGCCCGCGTGCCCTGCCTGCCTGCCGCGGCAGCCGCGGCGCAGCCCCTGCGAGGACACGTCCATGGACTACAGGTTCGTCATGCAGGCTCCCTTTTGGCGGCGAGCGAGGGGGGGAAAAGGGGCAGAATTCAACCTTGAGCGATCGGGGCAGTGGTTCAAGGTTGAACGATCGAGGTGCCGAAGACCTTTGCGCGCTCGTTTCCCTGTGCTCGAGAAGGAAACTGTGCTTCAAACCGGGTTTTTCTTCGGGCACCGCCTCTGTGCGTGGGAGGAAAACAACATCTACCAAAGCAAGATTTTGAGTCGGGCATGCCCCTCTGCAGAAGGAATATATTCAAAAATAGTAAGACAATAGTATTGGGACAATGATTCTAGAATGTTCAGGCAGTTTTTGGTCAGTTTTGATTATGCTCATCTTTCATCCACAACCCGCCTGTAGGAGGACGTGCCCGACCCAAAGCTGGAGCCTCGATCCTCCTCCAGCTTCCAGAGCTCGCGGGGCCCGCCTGGGCCGTTCCCGAGGCCCGCCTCCGGGGGCCCAGGCGGATCTCACGCAGCCACGTCCCCCTTCCTCCTCCCCTCCTCCCCTCCTCCTCTTGCTCCTCCTCCTCCCCTCCTCCTCCTCGACCCCCTCCTCCTCCTCCTCCTCCTCCTCCTCCTCCTCCTCCTCCTCCTCCTCCTTCCCTCTTGCTGTCGGCGTGCCATCCGAAGGGGACGGGCGCACAAGCGGGAGCGAAGGGGGGCTCCCCGGGAGCCACGGCGAGCCGCGGTCACGAGCAGCCTCCCGGGCGAAGAATCGCGAGGAGCGGCCCGACAACCCGAGCCCCTTTCCCGAGCCCGCAGCGGCGGCGAGCCCCAGGGGGGAAGTGAGACGGGGCGGGCCTTCTCGGAAGGCTCGGAAGCAAGGGCTCCCAGGAGGGCGCGAAGTTATTCGCGCTTCGCGCTTCGCCGTCCTCCTTCCTCCTCCCCCTCCTCCTCGTCCTCCTCTTCTCCCCCTTGGGGGGCGGCGCGAGAGCGCGAAGTTATTCGCGCTTCGCGCAGCGCGAAGCGCGAACTTAGGAGCCCTTGGGAAGCCTGAAGCATGAGTGCCGTGGATCGCGGAGCGACTACGGCAAGAGGATGCTCAAGAAGGTTGCCAGGGGGCAGCCGCCTGGCCGCAGTCCATGGGCCAGGCAGCAGGCAGGGACGAAGCTACTCGAGTGATGTACAGACATGGCCTTGCTGGCCTTCCGACAAGTTTCCTGGGCCTTCTCCGAAGACGCAGAATGCCTTTCCGAAGGCGCGAGGGCTTCGGAGAGACCCCGGCGCCTTCTGGGAAGGCCTTCTCCTTCTCACTTCCCGTCCTAGCCCGCCACAGGGTTGGCCCAATGAACGGCCCGAAAACCGTTCCTGAGCCCAAAGCTGTCCTTATCTCGGAGAGAGCGTGATCCACCGCCGCTTCACTGTGGAAAATTGCGCCCTTTTCCTCCGGAACCCGGGGGTCCGGTCCCCCCCCCCCCTCCGAAAAAATCCCCCCCCCCATCCCCCCCCAAAAACCTCCCCCTTCCCTAACCCCTCCCCTCCCCCCCCCTCCCCCTCGAAAACCAGGGGGGGGGTCACTACCGGTTCGAACCCCTCGAAAACCGGGGTCACTACCGGTTCGAACCCCTCCCCACACCCCCCTCTCACCGCCAGCAAACGACTCCCGGTCCCTACCACCGTCCTCACCACATCCCCCACTGTTGTTCCCAGCACCACTGTCCTCACCACCACTGTCCCCACTGGTTCCACCACCGCCCCTACTGTCCCCACCAGTGCCACCACCACTGTCGCACTGTCCCCACTGTCCCCACCACTGTTCCCACCACGGCTCCACTCTCCCAACTTTCTCCACAGCCCCAACCACTGCCCGACTATCCCCACTGTCCCCACTGTCCCACTGACTCCTCCGCTGTCCCACTGAGCTGTCGCACTGTTCCCACCACTGTCCCCACTGTCCCCACCACTGTCCCCACTGTACCTCTGTCCCATTGTCCCACCGCCGTCCTCGCCACCGCCTTCACCACTGTCCCTACCACCACTGTACCCTCCACTGTCCTATTGTTTCCACCACATTCCCACTGTCCCACACCACTGTCCCCACCACCACCGTCCCCACCACTGTCCCACTGTCCCCACTGTTCCCACCATTGTCCTCACCATTGTCCCCACCACTACCGTCCCCACCACTGTCCCACTGTCCCCACCACTGTCCCGCTGTCCCCTCACCACTGTCCCCACCACCAGCGTTCCCACCACTGTCCGCCCCCCCCCTCGGTTTTCGAGGGGGGGTGGGGGTTCGAACCAGTAGTGACCCCCCCCCGGTTTTCGAATTCGAGGGGGGGGGGGTTCGAACCAGTAGTGACCCCCCCCTTTTCATGATGAACTGGGGGGGGGGAGGGGTTAGAACCGGTAGTGACCCCCCCCGGTTTTCCGGAGGGGGGGGGGAGGGGTTCGAACCGGTAGTGACCCCCCCCGGTTTTCCGCCAGCAGCGGTAGAACATGTTTTTCTTATCTCGGCGTCTCGACGGTAGGCATGAGATGAAAAACACACAGACGCAATTCATCCTCGAATCCACGGAAAATGTGGGAAGTGGTGGCGAAGACGAACATCCAGAAATCATTGGAGGATATGGTAGCATGTGGGAAGACGAAGACTATTTCTTTGAGTGTCCTCGCCCTGGCCCTCTCGCCCTCTCGCCCCCCTTCGCCCTCTCGCCCTCGCCCACCCCCTGTGGCTCTCGCCCTCCCCCTCCCCCTCGCCCTCGCCCTCCCCTCTCTAGGCCTCCGCCTCCTCCTCCTCCTCCTCTCCCTCCCCCCTCCCCTTCCTTCTCCTCCTCCTCCTCCTCCTCCTCCTCCCCCCCCTCCTCCTCTCCTCTCCCTCCTCCTCCTCCTCCTCCTCCTCCTGCCTCCTCCTCTCCCCTCCCCCTCCTCCCTCCTCCTCCTCCTCCTCCTCCCCTCCCCTCCTCCTCCTCCTCCTCCTCCTCCTCTTCCTCCCCGCCTCCTCCTCCTCCTCCTCCTATTCTCCCTCCCCTTCCTCCTCCGCCTCCTCCTCCTCCTCTCTCCCCTCCTCCTCTCATCCTCTTCCCCCTCCCCCCCCTCCTCCTCCTCCTCTCCTCCTCCTCCTCCTCCTCCCCTCCTCCTCTCCTCCTCCTCCCTCCTCCTCCTCCTCCTGGATGGGGTCGAAGTCGATGGGGTCAGAGGGTCGCGCCGCATCGCCGATGCATCGCCCATGCGGCTCGGTGTGGGGCCCGATTGGCTTCAAGCCGACGTCGCCGATGCATCTATCGCCCACGTCGACGGCGCATCGCCGGTGCAGCGCCGACGCATCGACGATGCGTCGGCGAGGCGGCGCGATCCTCCGACCCCATCAGCTCGGGCCCCATCTGGGAGGCCACTGTCAGCGTGTTTGGAGCCTCGGTAAGCGCGCCTGTCGGGCGCTGCGGATGTCGGCCGATCTCCCCGAAGTGGGATGTTATGTGAGCTGGGCGTGTGGCTGTGGCGGGGCTTCTCAGAAGGCCTCCGGCCTTACGAGAGGTTTGCTGTGTCCTCGGGGAGCGCTCAGCTAACCTCTCACTTTCCCCCCGGGCTCGCCGACTAGAAGTGTCGGCTGACCTCCCCGCTTGTTGGGATGTTATGTGAGCTGCGTGTGGGCAAGCTGTGTGGCGGAAGCTGGCGTCCGCTCTTGTGGGCCGTTTTGCATTCTGAGGCTGCAGAGGCCAATCGGAAGCGAACGGGCGAGAATGCAACACCTATCCGTACAGTCAACCCGCATACAGTCGGACCGAGGTATTAGATCGAGGTCGGTTCGGGGAGGGCACCCTAATGTTCTTCGTGTTCGTTGGATGTTACTGAGCATCCCGGGGGAGGGTACCCTCGAGTGACCTTAAGGTTTGGCGTGTTTTGGCTGGCCGAGGGTCTCATGTTCTTGAATCATGTTCTTCTGTCCTGTATGCCCGACTTCTGTAAGGATGCGCAATTTTCCAAGCTTGACCTGTGCATCCTTCCCCTTCGGCCCATCCTTGGCCGCTCTCGCTGGCCGCGCCCGCTCGCAAAGGTGCCGACATGGCCCTCCAGGTCGGCCCGGCCCAGCCCTCGCGGGCCGCGCCCGCTCGCAGAGGTGCCGGCATGGCTTTCCAGGGCCCCCTTGCATCCTTGCCTCGCGGGTCCTGCTTGGCTCGACGCATCACCATCACCACTGTCACCACTAATCCTCATCCCCATGTTTGTTATCCTGTTTCTTCTTCTCTTCTTGCCCTTCCTCTCCTCTCCCCCCATGTCCCTCTCCCTTTCCTCCTTTTGTCCCATCTCGAAGAGGAGCGGATGAGGACTACGGTTGCGCAGGGGCGCAGTGCAGCGACAGTCCCTCCTGCCTCGTGCACCAGGCGAGAGACCCACACCCCCGACTTCGCGATGTTGTTCACAGCGTCGGCCCCCAGAGGTCGACCTCTGGGGGTCGACCTCTGGGGGCCGACCCCCAGATCAGACGTTCTCATTCTAAGATTTGTAGTGCCTTGAGATCTCAGGTCTCGACCCCTTCCCTGGGACGGGTTTTGCATCCCGGCCGAGTGATTTTCTGACGGTCTTGAGACCCAAGGAAGGGCCCCCAGAGGCCCCCAAAAAGTGAAAAGCCTCCAGTCGCGATTTTTTTCCACAGCGCGAGGGGGTCTGGGGACCCCGCGATCCAGACGAGAAGCGACGTCCCGCGCGATTGCGGTGCGACCGCGGCAACCGACCGCGCCAGCCGCCTCACTCACAGGCCGTCGTCGTCGTCGTCGTCGTCGTCGGAGGAGGAGGAGGAGGAGGAGGAGGAGGAGGAGGAGGAGGAGGAGGAGGAGAAGGAAGAGGAGGAGGAGAAAGCAGGAGGAGCAGGAGGAGGCAGGAGGAGCAGGAGGAGCAGGAGGAGCAGCAGCAGGAGAGGAGGGAGGAGGAGGAGGAACAGGAGGAGGAGGAGCAGGAAGGGAGGAGGGAGGAGGAAGGAGGAGAGAGGAGGAGGAGGATGAGGAGGAGGAGGAAGGAGTGAGGGAGAGGAGGAGGAGGAAGAGAGGAAGGATGAGGAGGAGGAGGAAGGAGGAGAAGGAGGAGGAGGAGGAGCTCACCCCCGCGGAGAGCACCTCCGTCGCACCCCCCCGTCTCCCTCACAGGTCCTGCGCATGACCTCCACGGCCCCGCCCTGGCGGCCTCGCGGCGCGCAAGGCCTCGGGGAACCGCCGCGCCCCTGGGGGGGGGGGGGGGCGGCGCCTTGGAGGCAGGGGGGGGGAGGGCCCCCAGGGAGACGCCTCCTGGATCCTCCTCCTCGACTCTCCTCCGCTTCCTGGATCCTCCTCCGCCTCTCCTCCTCCTCCTCCTCCTCCGCCTCCTCCTCCGCCTCTTCCTCCTCCTCCTCCTCCTCCTCCTCCTCCTCCGCCTCCTCCTCCTCCTCCTCCTCCATTTCTAGTTCCTGATCAGTGGATGTCCCTCTCGCACCCCGAGGCCGGTCGAAAGGGCAGGTCGGGCGTTTCGCCTGAGATTTCTTCATAATGGTGTATGACCTTGAAGCCTAAACATTGGCAACAGCTTCACAGATTGAGGGCGGCTCTTTTTCAAATTGTGGCTCCAGCATTAGCGCCGCGCACATCAGTGTCAAATATTTGCAAGAATTTCACGGATTGAGAGCGGGTCGTTTTCAACATGTGGCTCTCGCCTTAATGCCTCGATTGAGGGCGGTTCTTTTTTGCAGCATGTGGTTCTCGCATAGCGCCTCGCACATGCTTTACATAAATTGCAAGAGTTCCGCGGATTCCCAAGCTTAACGTTCCAGCAATTGTGTTCTGGAAAAGATGAAGGATTATGCGGGTGCAACAGTTAGGTTTGTTCGCGGTGTTGAAGTCCCAGGAATGGCGTTCTGGCACGATTCAGAATCGTCAAAACGCAACAGTCAGGTTTATCCGTGGCGTTCGAATCCCGAAAATAATGTTGTGGCATGCTTCAAGCTCTGCCAACGGATGTCTTCCAACGAGGCAGTTCATTCACCCAGTGGAAAGTGGAAATGAAGAGGGAGCTTGGAGGGAGGATTTTGCCAACATCGCTGATTACTCTTGGGTTTACACTAGTCCTCCTCCTCCTCGATCCTCCTCGATCCTCCTTCTCCTCCTCCTCCTCGTCCTCCTCCACCTCCTCCTCCTCCTCGTCCTCCTCCTCCTCCTCCTCCTCGTCCTCGTCGTCGTCCTCTTCCTCCTCCTCCTCCAAAAAGTACGTGCGGGCCTCCGGCAAGTTTTGCTTATGTGATTGGTTGCTCTCCTGAAGTTTTTGTTCTGATGGGCCCTGCACCGAGGGCTCTCCGGGCTGGCCAGGGATGGCGCGCTTCACCATTTGCGAGGCGGACGTTGAGCGGTGCGAGCCGATGTCGAATTGAGCCGCGGCAGCACGAGATTTAGAAAGTACGGGGTTCGCGAGGCGCTAGGGACTGAGTCCTTCTCGAAGGAGCAACTAAACAATCCGAAAGCCCTCCCATAAGGATCCCAAGAGTCTTGTCGAAGGGTTTAGAGAGGGGGTCGGGCGGAGTATTGTCGTTTGGGAGGGAGCCAGTCCCCTGCGAACCCCGGGCTTTCCTCCAAGCGGTAGCAGATATGGGCATGCCAAGCAGAGACAGATGCTGGGACGAGGGCACATGCGAGGACAGAGGAACGACGCAACACAACGGGGTCGTCTGAGCCGACACTGGTGCGTAAGCTGCCCGCGCAAGGTCGCGCGTGAGCGCCCACGTCTCTCATGGGGCGTGCCGCGCCGGCTGCCCGCGTAAGCCGCCGCGCGAGGTCGCGATGCCATACCGCGTAAGACCCGCTGTCGATTGTCGCCCAGATGCCGGGGAACGGCATGGTGTGGACTTTCTACCAGGAGGGGAAAAAAACACGCAGACACAATTGATCGCCGATTCCACGGAAATATGGGAAGTGGGGGGGAAGACAAAAACCCAGAGCATATGGGAAAACATGGGGAACCCCCTTGTTTGTGTGTACTTGTTTGTGTGTCCCAGGGTACAAGGCGTTCCTTGCCCTGCACGTCCTGTACGGCACCGCCTGTACCCCTGGCTCCGCCCGCTCTCGGCCGCCTGAGGCCCCGCCTTCCTGCGCCCCGTCTCCTCAACTAGTACTTTGCGCAGCCCGCGTAGTTCTTACCGGTAGAGGTTCGCTCTCGGCCCGCAGATCAAAAATTGTGTGTCCCAGGGCCCCTTCCATCTCACGCGCGAGGGCAGGTGCGGGGACGAGCCGTGCACCACTCTCTGGGGCACGGGCGGGCCGAGGCGCCGAGGCGTATACCAGGGGGCACCCGCGGCACGAGCACCGCGCGGCCCGCGAGTCCCAGGGCCGCAGGGGCGAGCGCGGCATCCCAGGGCCCCAGCGTCCTCCTCCTCCTCCTCCTCCTCCTCCTCCCCATCCTCCTCCTCCTCCTCTTCCTCCTTCTCCTCCTCCTCTTTCTCCTCCCTCCTCCTCCTGGATCCTACCCCTCCTCCTCCTCCTCCTCCTCCCCCTCCTCCTCCTCTTGTGAATGGTCTGCCGTATTTGTGTGTAGGTTTAGCATGTTGTAGAGGATCAGGAGCCTTGGGGTATGACCCTTGCGAGACAAGGGCCATGATGCCGTAATTCGACATCATTGGCTCAAGATCCATTGGCGGAAAAGGCAATCGCTCATCCTGCTGCTGCCACAGTTGGTAGCGGAGCGGGGCTAGCCATGGCGAGCGAGGGTGGCGCCGCGCACTGCTGAGGCGGTGGTGCGGGCGCTGGTCGGCGGCCGGGCTGGCACCGCTCTCTCGGGACGGACGGTGCGTGGATCCACGGCGAGCGTCGAGATGCCAGGGTCACCAGAAGAAGACGGTGAGACTTTTGCGACCATCGGGAGCGAAGGGGGCCAAGCGCGAGGGAGCGCTGCCGGCTCTCGCACAGCTTCCGGGGTCGCTGGGGAGCAGTCGAGTCAACAGGTGGACCAGCTCGAGGCGATTCGGAGGATGGTCCAAGAAAAAATGCGAGCATTTCGAGATTCGGCAGCAGCGGCCGCTTCAGCGGCCACCAACGACGCCGGGCGAGACTCGGACTCTTCGGTGGAAGGACGACCGCTGGGAGTCGAGCGACCCATGGGAGAAGGAGGACCCCTGGGGCGGCCAGTCAAAGGGAGAGCAGCCCACAACGGACTGGTCTCGGCGGCAGCAGTGGAAGGACGACGGCTGGCACGACCAGAGCCACAGCTGGAGCGGCTCGAGGCAGGACTGGTGGCCCTCGGTGAAGGGCGACTACTCTGACCCCCCAGCGTGGCCCGGCTGGGGTCACTATAGGTTGTGGAAGAGATCGGTTAGACGATGGAATAGCAACACTGATGTGCCTCTCTGGAGGCGAGCCGAGAAGTTTCTCAAGCTCTTCGAGTGGTCGATGCAGGCCAAGTTCGAGGACATGGACGAGTAGACCCTGTCGAACGAGGGCTGGCTCGAGGCGTTCCTCAAGCGCATGGACATCATGTCCGGCGAACGGGAAGGCGACGACTTGAGGCGAGCCGGGAGGCGCGCCTTGTTTGAGTGCAGTCGGATGGCCAAGGAGTCGCTCACACAGTACGTCGCCCGTCGGGACCAGCAGTTCAGCGAGGCTGAGAGTTTCGACATCGGCATGTCTGAGAAGCTGAAAGGGTTCATGTTAGAAGAGGGCGCCGGCCTCACTGCTCAGGGACAGCAGAATCTGAGAACCCTGACGAAGGGGGCGCTCGAGTACAAGTAGGTAGCATGGGCTCTGAGGCAGATGGACTACGGTGGCGGCGAAAAGCTGCTCCCGTCTGGCGCTCAGGCTCATCCAGTGTTCGCCGCAGAAGTCGGTGGCGCCGAGGGCGTCGACCAGTCTCTCCTTCATCCTCCTCCCCCCTTTCCGGGCCAGTCTTTCCCGGCCAGTGCGGGAGGCCAGGACGAGGAGCAAGACGAGGACGAGGACGACGGCCAGGAGGGCGATGACGATGAGGAGGTCACCGAAGAAGACTTGCAGGCCATCTTAGCGGAGATCGAAGACTTCAACATCGACGAAGACGAGGCGGAGGAAGTGTTCCTGCAGCTGGAGCAGCGCAACAAGAGGACGCGGAAACAAAACAAAGATATCAAGCGGGCTGCGAGGCAAGACCGCGAGCACTACCGCCCTCGAGAGCGACCTCGGGCAGAGGATCGAGGTGGCCGCGGCCGAGGACGAGGAGGTGCTCGATCGGGGGCGGCCGGGGCCTCGGGCCGCGGCGGACGAGGAGGGCGTGGCGAGCGTCGCAGCAAGCTCTCGATCACCCAGTTGATGAAGGTCACCCACTGCAAGCGCTGCGGGCAGAAGGGCCATTGGTCACGCGAGTGCACCAATCCGCCCAAGGACGGAGCTCTCGACAAGCACGACAAGAGGGGCGACAGGCGGGTCAGGTCCTACACCTTCGGCGGATGGTCCTTCCCAGTGCTGTCGAGCGAGATCTTGCAGCAGCTGAAGGACCTCAGGGGCCAGGTCGAGAGCGACGGCGTCTCCCAGAGGTGCTCCGGATCCAGAATCGGGATCCGCGGCGATGTCGCGCCGAAAATGGATCCCGGATCCGGTTCCTTGCGGAAGTGGGTCCGGGCGCATGTATGCGCAATGTATATATTTGTATATAGGTGTATATGTGTATGTAAATGTATATGTGTATGTATGTATGTATGTATGTATGTATGTATGTATGTATGTATGTATGTATGTATGTATGTATGTATATATGCATATAAATATATATAAGTATGTGTGTAAATGTGCATATCTACATATATATGTAAGCAAAAACGGCTTGAGTAGACAAGTGCATAAGCCAAAATGGCTACGCGGGGGACGGAGGAGGAGGAGGAGGAGGAGGAAAAGGAGGAGGAGGAAGAGGAGGATGTCTCGAGCGGAATTGTGAGGATGTCTCGAGCGGGGCCTTATGAGGGGAAGTGTGAGGATGTTTGATAGAATTCAGAGGATGTCTCGAGGTGTCGAGGAAGCTCTTTTTTCTTGGGCGCTCGAGCCCTGCCGCGTGTCACTTCTGCACCCCTGCAGCCTCGTCGAACGTCGTTCCTCCGTCTTCTCATCCTCCTCCTTCTCCCTCCTCCTCCTCCTCCTTTTCCTCCTTCTCCTCCTCCTCCTCCTCCTCCCCCCCCCCTCCTCCTCCTCCTCATCCACCCTCCTCGTCGTGGAGGGTTGCCCCGAAGCCA